TTGAGAGCAAATTTATTTACTTTAGAAAAAAATCATTTCATTGCAGTAACAGTTTTTTACAACACTGCGGAAAGGAAACCCTTATCAAGAAAGACTGAAAAAAACTAAAATCAACGTACCGATAAATTCCGATTTAATTAAGGTTTTTCATCGGCTGCATATTATAGACGAATAAATGTAATAACTTATATCAAGCATAAGGTTACAAAACATGAATTAAAAAAAATATATAAAAAAAAGTTGCCCGACTTCCAATTCTAGTAATAGGGTTACAAAAAAATCACTCTCTTGCGCCTGTCTAAATTACGGCATTATAAACAAAAAGTATCAACTGATCGCAATACCACTATAAATAAGAATATTCACGAAAAGAAACTATGCCAAAATCTGCACTGAATTTGCAACATTTTGTCTAAAAGAAATCCTAGGTCTGAATAAATTTGTTATTTTTTTCAGAACTCATGAAAACGCCTTCTTGGAATAATAGTAAAATATATCAATAAATTTTGTTATAGAATAAAAATCTACTTACCACGTCGATTATTTTGCATAATTATTAACAAAGTTAATTCGATTATTATAGCACAAAGAGTAGACCGAATTTATCAAAAATAATTGCACCCAAAAAATTACAGCAATATACGCATTTAAGATGCTATTTTTGACAAGCTTTATCTTTTGTTTTATCACGTAGACAATCCAAGGCTAATGTGTTGGAAACTTAGATAAAAGAGACAAGAGATGATATAACGTACACCGGCACATACTTTGATTACTATACGAGGCAAGAGAGAGGTCCGACACGCCCAACATAGGGCGCGGCCATTTTGAACCCTGTGACAGAGTTTACAGCTAAAGAATCAGATCGCTCACTCTGCGTCGGCACTTTTGATCTCAATGTTTCAGTTTATACACTGTACAACTCGGATAATACAATATATGACAACCGCCTATAATGAAACAGCAGTCTTCTGCGTATCCTGAATTTGTATCCCTGGAGTGGATGTTATTATGGAACTTTCAACTGGTCCGAGTGAGCTAACTGATTCTTTAGCAATAAACTGTGACTTCAAAAATAATATTCACTGACACTGACAGCAGCAAGCAAAATATCAGGTGCGTTTTATTCATCCGCTTCTGCTTCCGGAATTGTCGGTTTAGTCGTTTTAACCTGTCAGATTAAAACAAGAAAACCGACAATTCCGAAGCAGAAGTGGATGATTAAAACGCACCTATTAAAAATATTGCGCCAAGATGTAGGCAACACGTAATAAGGGTTCAAAATGGCGGAGTTTTCTATCTCCTTTTAAAAGGCACTCAGAAAGCTGCGCAGTGCGACCATTCTCCGTATAGTAAAAGAAAATCAAAGTATGTGTACACCGGTGTTTAACCTGCGCAAATGTTGCCAATTTCTAAAGAAAGGTTAACGGAGTGGGGGAACTGGGCGTAGACCCCAACTCTGTGATAGGGATGGACTTTGTTTAAGGAGGTCCTTTCGCCACCAATGTTAAATAAAAAATATTAGATTATGACTAAATAATTAAATTTACACTATTCATACAAAAGTTGTTTTCAATTTACTCATTTATTGTGTCGTAATTTTATTTAAATAATAAAAAAAATTATAATAAATAATGTGTAAGTATATCTCATTATGATAAATAAATAAATAATTAGATAGTACTCTAATAAAATGATATTTTTCATTTATTGTGATATTTTCAATTATAAAATAAAATTTGGTAAAAATAAATAAATTAATAAATATAAATGAAAAACATAATTGAGGTTAAAGTTTACATTGAATGTATTCAATGGTCTGAAGTTCGCGCGCTACGCAACGTTGCAAATGTTTTGACTCCATTTTAAGCTAGTTGAAAATTTTTTGTGATTTTTTAATAGTAATTTCTCAATAAATTCCACAGTAACATATATATTTTATTGTAAAAAACAAAACCTAAATATTTCAAAAACCTTATTTTTAGTTTTTTTCTACTCCATCTAATCAATAAATAATAGTATAATTCGAGAATTGTTGTTGAGGTCTTACTTTATCGTAAGACACTGTACAAATACTCACATTTTTAAAAAAAATTCTCCAAAATTTGCACGGTAAGGTATAGTTAAAAGTTCACTATTAGATAAATAAGGACTTCTATTAGAAAAAAATTAATTTTAGTCATAATCTAATATTTTTTATTTAACATTGGTGGCGAAAGGACCTCCTTAATAGCATCATAATGAACGATTAGATTTACTTAAAAGGTGTTTAATGGAATTTTGTATTATGAAATAAATTTAACCTGATTTTTAATATCAAACAGATGCTACATTTTATGTAAAGAGAAGACCTTTTATAGAATATTTCGTTAGCGTTTATTTACTACGGACTTTTCTACAAGAGAAATAGGATATTGTTAATCGAGCAAGAAATGTTACTCATTGTCTAAGAGTATTATAAAAAAGAGCATGTACGCAGGCGAATACTGCAAATCGAACCTTATAAGTTCATTATATTGTTTCTGCGGCTATTACATAATATTAAAAATTAGTCAAAATGAGGAAAATTCTGTTTTGTATTTTAACCTCAGAAAAAGTATTTTAAAGCTTCTTTCTTTAGAAATATTTATTAATATAGAGAATAAGTCACATAAAACTCTAGAAATGCATATGTCTGAAACCACATAAAATTTTAAAATTTAAACCTGTTAAAAGTAATTTGGTCTAGGCTAGGGGTGGGTGATTATCAAGGGTAATATACCAAGACCTTGATAATAGTCAGCTATTTTTGATGAATCTAAATCTCGAGAATATTTTAATATCAATTTGATGGGACATAATTTTTGGCATTAATAATCAATTGATTAAAGCCCTCGAGCTAAAGCTATCGGGCTCTAATCAGATTATGTAGAATCAAATTGTAAAATGTTCGAGAAATTTAGCAACAACAAAAATAGCAGTATATTAATCAAGGTCGTGTTATATTTGGGACGACTATTTCACTAGACCAAATATTGACTATTTCTCTAGAGAAATAGTCGCTGATATTTGGTCTAGAGAAATAGTCGAAATAAATGATCGATCATTGAAAATAATCGATTATTTTCGATCAATCGATTGTTTTCAATCTATTTTTTTTTTCGTATTTCCTTTTAAATCGACTGCTTGATTATCTTTGAAAAATCAAAAATAATCGATTAATTAAAAAGCCAATTTACCGATAAATCACTGTTTACAAAAAATAATAAACGAATTATCGTTTATTTTAAATAATCGATTATTTTCAAATAATCTATTTTTTCGAATTTCCATTGAAACAGATTATTTGATAATCGATTAATTAAAAAGTCGATTAACCGATAAATCGATTTAAAAAACCCAATTATCGATTATTTTCGATCAATCGATTATCAAATAATCTATTTTTTTCACATTTCCTTTACAATTGATTATTCGATTGTTTGAAAAATCTAAAATAATTGGTAAATCGAAAATAATCAATAAATCGAAAATATTCGATTGATAAAAAGCCGATTAACCGATAATTCTAAAAAAATAACCGAAATATCGATTATATAAAATAACCGATTATATTCAATCAATCGATTATTTACATATAATCTATTTTTTTTGTATTTCCTTTAAAACAAATTATTCGATTACCTTTGAAAAATCGAAAATAATCGATTAATTAAAAAAGCCGATTAAACAATAAATTGATTTTTCTAAAAGAAAACGATTATTTTGAATAAATCTTCTTCCTTTAAAACCGATTATTCCATCATCTTAAAAAAACGAAAATAATTAATTGAAAATGTTCCGATTAATCGAAAATAATCTATCAATAAAAAAATAAAATCTCAAAGCCAAGAGTTACTTTGTGACTTTTTATTCTCACAATCTCCATTCATGTGTACGAGTAAATTTAATTATTATTCCATTAAATATTTGAATCGAGAATGTCTATTTCTTGCTGATGTGTTCTAATAAGGACAAAACTGGTCCCGTCAGTAAGCAAAATTAAAGTTAAGAGTGTTGAAAATAATTTTCTTTCTCTGTTTTTGTTTTGATATAATTCAATGTCTGTTGCTGTATTAACCAAAGGAGTAGTTGTTTTCAAAATGGAAACTGTCTCTTCTGGACTAGTTATGCAGAAAATCTTTTTTTTATGTGGATGGAAAAAATGGTTATCTAGTTTTTAAAAAGCGGGAAATTTTGTGATTTCTTGATAGGAAATTTCATAGTTTTGATTTGACAACACTGTGCGTGAGTCTAGATTAGAATTAGAAACAGGATTTTTTGATATAAAATTTTAGATTTTGGATTTGGCAACACTGTGCGCGAGTGTAGATTAGAATTACGTAATCGTGCAGTCGTGTCGTTGCTGGTAACAACAAAAACACTTCCTTAATGTTCGGTCTAGCATAGTCTATATAAGTCCTTTATTTAGCACAATTTGCTAATACATTCAGTAATAAAAAATACATAGTACATAAAAACAGCAGTGATAAATAAAATATAATTTTGTAATATATATAAATATTTCAAAATAAAAAGACTGCGAGAAAAGGTAGAAATCTTGTAATATTAAATTATATAGTCTTTTTGTGGTGTCATGTGAAACAACTTATGAACCGATACATACAATTAATGAACGGAGAAAATAAACAATACAGCCGCAGAAATCCGACAAAATCAGTAGCGTATCTTCATTTTGAACAATTACTGAAGTTTAATGTTTTCGATATTCAAGCTATGTGAGATTAGTTTAACAATCAAGAGTAGAATTTTTGTCAGAAAAAGGTCAGATCGACCCTTTTTTTTTTTAATTTAAAAAGTTTAAATTGGTGTCATTTGTGTTTGGACATCATACACTCTTGTCACTTTTAATATTTATCTGTAATTCAATAACATCCAGTATATTACTTGTGAAAGACTTATTAAATCGTCATCCTATGACCTATAATTTCGGAGATGAATTTTAAACAAAAGTGTCTTACTTTCTTCAATGGTGGATGTCACAACTGAGCCGTTGCTGTGTAGGTAGTTGATTTTCTGTCGATCCGAATGCTTGTGATCGCGATCGCTCCCGTGCTGCTGCTGTTGTTGCTGGTCTTGATCTTTACATTTCTCCACTGATTTTCTGTGATGTGATTTTGTGTTGTGTGTGTTCGTGTTATGGACCCCATTTGCTATGGCACCATTTGGTATGTGACCATTCTTTTCATGGGATTGCCTACTGAAATTAAAAAAAACTTACTTATTGAAAGTTAACAATAAAAAATTGTATAATGAATCTTTCTAAGCCAGTACCCCTGATGCATGAACATTTAACCCAACAAACAATAAATTGCCGGGATATTGCTGGCCTTTTGCTGTAATTGAAGGGAAAATGAATGCGACGATTAAAAGATAAAAGCCTACTTTTGGCCTTATGATAGTGGCCCAGCAATAGGTTACTTGATGATGATGACCTTATGAAGGGTAAGTAACTGTATTGGGTAAAAGCATGGTAAAAGTCAAAAGGCTTTTAACTGCCGCAGACCCAATTCCACGAGGGCTCCGTCGCGCGTTCATGGAGACACCGATGGTCGCTTGTTAATAAATATACTCAACTACATGTTAATTTAGAATATTTTATGAATAATTTTTTTGAAGAAGGCATTTTTTCTGTATTATTATCTATATACAGTATGGTTCAAATGAAAGGAATAAATTCATTATAAAGGAAGTAGTTGGTTTTTCAAAAAAATGCTCGGACAGGTCAATTTTGTTTACTTAAAGCACAATTTTTTAAATAGAATTCAATTTTCCCCCACTTCCCATTTTTGGGTAGTGACGTCATTGACAATTTTTTTAAATAGTAACCCCAATTTTTTTTTTTTGATTTTGATAGATCTTGCAATTTCCTACTCGGAAACATAATATTTGAAATATCTGACAACAATTTTTTTTTCAATAAAAGTCATTTAAAGATCAGTTACATAAATTTTATTTTATTTTGAAACACAATAAATGAATAAAAGATAATTATTTGTAATTAAGTGCTTCATTTAAAAAAATAATAATAATAATAATAAAAAGAATTTAATGACAATTACACAAATTCTTTTTTATTGTTATTATTATTATTATTATTTTGTTAGATTAAGCACTTAATTACAAATAATAATTTTTTATTCATTTATTGTGTTCTCAAAATAAAATAAAATTTATGTGTCTGATCTTTAAATGACTTTTATTCAAAAAAAATGTTATGTAAGATATTTCAAATATTATGTTTCCGAGTAGGAAATTGCAAGATCTATCAAAATCAAGAAAAAAAAATTGGGGTTACTATTTAAAAAAAATGTCAATGACGTCACTGCCCAAAAATGGGAAGTGGGGGAAAATTGGATTCTATTTAAAAAATTGCGCTTTTATTAAACAAAATTGACCTGTCCGAGCATTTTTTCGAAAAACCAACTACTTTCATTATAATGAATTTATTCTTTTCATTTGAACCATACTGTATATATAAAATTTTTTGTCCTGACTGACTGACCTATCAGCGTACAGCCAAAACTACTAGGCATAGAAAGCTGAAATTTGGAACATATGTTTATTTTATAACGTAATCATCCGCTAAGAAAGGATTTTTTGGAAATTTTAACTTTAAAGGGGGGAAATGGGGGAGGGAGCTTTTAATGACTCTTTGTTCTTTAAAGTTAGAAACATGAAAATTTAAATTACAGCTGCTGAGTAAAAACAAACAATGACGTGTTTTAGGGTTTTTGGATTTTTTACATTTTATGGGGGGAAAAACGGGGGGTGAAAGTTTGTAAGGGACTATCAATTTTTTTTGTTCTCTATGAAGTTAGAAATATGAAAATTGGAATTGCAGCTACTGACTACAAATTATTAATGACGTGTTTCAGGGTTTTGAATTTTCACATTTTAAGGGGGGAAATGGGGGGGGTGAAAATTTATTTGGGAGTATCCATGTTTTTGGTTCTCTTTGAAGTTAGAAATATGAAAATTGGAATTGCAGCTAATGTGTACTAATTAATAATAACGTGTTTTAGGGTTTTTGGATTTTCACATTTTAAGGGGGGAAAACGGGGGTGAAAATTAATAAAAATTAATAAAAAATTCATAAAAATTAATAAAAAATAACAACAATTAATAAAAAGTATTAAAAATTAATAAAAATTTATAAAAATTAATAAAAAATTTTAAAAATTATTAAAAATTAATAAAAATTATTAAAAATTAATTAAAATTATTAAAAATTATTAAAAATTATTAAAAATTAATAAAAATTATTAAAAATTAATAAAAATTATTAAAAATTAATAAAAATTAATAAAAATTAATAAAAATTAGTAAAAATTAATAAAAATTATTAAAAAGTAATAAAAATTAATTAAAATTATTAAAAATGAATAAAAATGAATAAAAATGAATACAAATGAGTAAAAATTAAAAATAAAAAAAAAAAAAATGAATAAAAATTAATAAAAATTAATACAAACGAGTAAAAATGAAAAAAATGAATGAAAATCAATAAAACTAATAAAAATTAATATGTATTTAACATGTATTTTTTTATATTAATAACACGACTATATGCGAGCAAAGTTGCGAGCAAAGCCGGGTATTTCCCCCGGCTAGTATTATATAATATAGCTGAATTAAATAAAATGTCTACAATATTCTATATTGAAATGCCTTTTGTTTTTGTATAGAATTTATATTTCAAACGGTACTACTGGTCAAAGAGGCACTATCGAATATCCTGTCTGGCCATGTGCCTGACACATGGCCTTTATTCAGCAGTCAGTATTAATATGGTAAAAGGCCAGCAATTTCCCGTTAACTTCCCTTCAATGGGCCATTAATTGCAATATATTTATTTTTATACATTAAAGGGAAAATGGAGGCCAATTAACTGGATGTAATGGCTAAGTGACTTCGGCCCGACCGTCGGCCGTAGTGACCTATATATGTCGGCATTTTAATTATAAAAGTTAAATGACCATCATTACAATTGGAGGGTAACAGTTATTGGGCCTTTTATTACCCTGCACAAAATGTTTGCTGGGAACTTACTTATTATGTAGTTTATTACTATTCAGCACAGGCTGTACAGGTACAACAGCATTCGAGGGTGGCTCTATTTGCTCCGCAGCCGCAGTACATGTTTCTATCGGCAGCGCCTGTTGCATCAGCTGCATATAAAACAGATTTTCTTTGGCTACGACTTGTTGCTTCCGCTGCCGCATCCTGTAGCCGACATAAGACTTAAACCCAAAGCCGAGTGTCACTACTGGATAGCCTATACAGTGTGCCGCGAACGGCCTGAGAAAAAAAGTAATAAATTAGCAACATTATTCATAAAAATAATAATAATAATCTAAACTGTATTTGGAAGAGAACTAATTTACACATTTGCAGATTAAGTACCGATTTTTTAACCTCTGAGTAAAATTACACATACGTTTACTTGACAGATTAATGAACTATAACTTATAGCCTAATCAGCAAGTACTTTACTCAGAGGTGGCACTAAACCAATTATAACTGGGCTATTAATTATGTATTTGTATTAAGGTAGAGTAGAAAGGAGAGCTGATTTAGAACACTTTTCTATCGTTTTTAGAAGAAAAACAACATTTTCCTGAAATGAGTGGATTAATAAACTTACCTGCACAAGTCTAGATGACCCGGCATGTGTTTAATATCTCTGAGCCTAACGGCAGCCTCTAAGTAGACGAACAATACCCAGAGAATAATCGTAGGGGCACATATCCCTTTGTCCGTGTGCCAAACATATTGCACCCAGACATAAGTACTTGCAGCGAAAAACAACCAATGCACCGGTATGAAAAAATAGCACAACATGTCTGAGGTTAACGCTATGCACACGAAGAATATCGAGAAGGCCAAGCCTTGATATTTGAATGAGTCGTAGACTGAACGGAGGAGTAAGTAGAAGGGCCACAGGAACTCGAAACGGAATTCTAATATGAAGTCCGCCAAAATTACCAAAACCCATAGAATCACAAACTTTAGGTAGAGAAGTGTGCTAAAAAAGAATTATTTGTTGCAAAATTATTTTCTAGGTATTCTTAACCCTAGAACGCTAAGCATATTTCTAACACTACTTAAGACTAAGCATTCGTAAATTTTACGACTTTTTTTTTTTCGTGTTTTTTTTCATACCAAAACAAAGAATAGCCAAAAAATGTATTATTTATTAAAAATTGACATTAACATATCATTATTAAGAACATGTTTGACAAATTTCACCACGGTGCTCACTACAAAATGGTTTTTTACAGTTTGAGCAGAAGTGAGTTGTCATTCGTCTTTTTCTTGAAGGGCACATCGCACAAATGGTTCTATTGGACTTGTTAGTAGCTGTTCTCTCTTCTAGAACTGTATGTCTGTCTTCTGTTGCTGTTTTTTCTAGAATCTGATTTATAGTTTCACAGAGTGAGCGCTGCAAAGTGGGTATTTTCACTCGTTCTTCTAACCATGGTACCACTAAAAGTTTATACAACTCCAGCATGTATGCTTTTCTGGAGATCAATTTCTGTCGGCGTTTTGTTTTATGAGCATTGTACAAAATATAGCTATTTACACAGGCAATATTTAGCATGCCAAAGAAAAGGCATAGGGGCCATCGTTTAGTTTTTCTGGAAGAACTCATAATTGAACACATCTGGTCCAATGTATCCACTGCTCCTTTTGTCTGATTGTAAGTCTCAATAATTTCCGGTTTTCCTGAAGTTTTTGAAACACTACATCCTTGGTGCATAGTTGATAAAAGTAGAACATTTTTATTCTTCTTTGGAGTGTAGGAGACAAGCACTTTTTCTTTGTCAAAACAAAATTTAGAGCTGCCTGGATCGCGATTCTGGGTTGCTAACATTTCTGCTGGTATTTCACGTTTATTTTTTCTAATGGTACCAACCATGGTAAGATTGTAAGGAGGAGCTAATAAATCATCAGCTAGTTTGACGGACGTAAACCAATTGTCCATTGTAATATTTCTATTGGACCCTGAAATAGTTTCACACAACGTTTTTACGTAAAATTCGCCCAAAGGCATCCCATTAGTGTTTGTGCTTTTACCCAAATATGGCATGGCGTCGAACATGTATTTTGTCGATACGTCGCATACCAAAACTATTTTTATGCCATATTTAGAAGGCTTGTTAGGTATGTACATTCTAAAGGGACATCTTCCCCGAAAACCTAGCAGTTGTTCGTCAATGGTAACGTAAGAGCTTGGTTTGTATGAATGTCTGCATTGACTTATAAATGCATCCCAAATATCTCTGATAGCCGCCAATCCATCCGTTTTTTTTCTCTCCTCCCTTGTGTTCTTATTATCAAAACGTAAACAATCCAATAAAAACTTGAATCTTTCACGGCTCATGACTGCCTTGAATACTGCTCCAGATATTTTATCATCAAATAACTCTTTGGTCGACAAATGGTTACTTTTCAAATACGCTGACAATACTAGTAATCCTAGTAAAGCTCTTACCTCGTCAGGACTAGTAGTAGATATTGTAGCAGATTTTGCTTTATATTTAGCAGATTTTATTTCAATCATAGCATTTGTATGTAACACAATTTTATCAATCATAGAATCCGTTATGAATAGTTTGAAAAATTCGTTTGCGTAAGAATCGTTCTGGAAATTTATTACTGGACCCGGAAAAATATGAATTATATTTCGTTGCGGAGTTTTTGATGTCGCTTTGGGAACAGCACTCCATCGATGACCATTTTTCCCTACGAGTCTCACTTGCGATCGAATTGTCTCATCAACTCTTACGATTCTTCTTTGTGAACTTGTTTCTGTATTCAATGATTCATATTCTTGTTGTTCAGGTTCGTTACTTCTGGATGTTCCAGGTAACGAATCGTTTGCCATTATTTGATTATCCGCATGTGTTTCTTTATTTGATTGTTCATGTAAAGTCCTATTTTTTTTGCTCTAGGAGGACTATATTCGTCTCCGTCCTCATCTTCTGAAGGTACGTATTCACTTCCACTGTCCTCAAAATCTTCAAACTCTATGACATCCTCTGTTTCGCTCCCACTTTCCTGGGCGCTGTCCTCATCTGATTCTAGTCAAATTCTCTGATATTTTCTCAAGTTCGGCTTGAGTAAGAGGTCTGTTTTCTTTTATTTGTTTAGACATATTTCTTAGAAATAACTTGCAAGTACTACAAGTTATATTTACAAAGAAAAAAATTTGAAAAATAATTTATTTTTGTACAGCGCGATAAAAACAAAAGTTACGTTAAGACTAACCTTTCGTAAAATTTACGATATGCGTCTTATAGCTGCCAGTACGGTACACTTAAAAATCGACCAACATACACGGGCTATTCACCAACACTGTCTGAGAGAATAGCTAGACGCAGAACCCGATAGCTAACGGATCCGAACGATGGTGGCCGAAAATAAAAATCACCGTCGTAAAATTTACGAAGCTTAGCGTTCTAGGGTTAATTAGGTAATAACTAAAAATAAAAAATAGAATGTGGAATTCTCATTTTTTTTTATTTGTTCCTATTTCAAGAAAACACTTATTTTAGTCATGGATTTTGAAGTTTAAAATGTTTCTAGTTTGACAAACTTTCCTAGTAATACGCTATATTAGTGTGACGTAATTTGTGTTTTACTGAGAGCTAACTTTTAACAAAAACAAACCATTGTATCATTGAATTTGACATATACATTTTTAGTTTTTTTTGTTTGCAGTTCGTAATAAAATAGTTTGAAGGTATGTAACCAAGTTGCTATTTGCTATTTCTGCCGATTCTGAAGTTTTAAACAGACAGGTGCAATCAGCGTAAATATCATCTATATACGATCTTTTATCATAGGTATATCATGATTAGGGTTGCCACCTGTCCTTTTTTGAAGGCAAAATGTCCTTGTGACTTTTTAAACCTTAAAATGTCCTTTTTATGACAAATTTCCTTTTTTAAGGCAAATGTCTTTTTTTTAGCACATATTTTTGGAAGGGACATGGTTTGTACAAAAATATAAGCTGAAGACCTTTTTTTTTAGAAGTTTAGTAGAAGGATGAGAACCTTTTGTATACCAGAGCCCCTGTCAACATCGTAGTCTTTTTTTCACTTTTAAAAAAGGTGGCAATCCTAATCACGATGGTATACAGATGCGCTGAAATTGATGAACCCTGACTTATTGTAGTGATTGTAATTTATTATTGGATTATAACCAGTGATGGCTGGTGCATAAATGCTCTAGGGCTGCAAAACTGCCAAAAAATGCAAATATCTCATCTACATTTCACAGATATTATTTTAGACACTATAAACTATACGTGAAATAGATTTTATGGATAATCTCATTGATTTTAATTATTAAATAGTAAATAGTGTGTGCACTGCACCGTTTGGGCCGCCCACACTCATTGTCTCCTTTAGTTGTTTTAGTAGTCTCGATAGGCATATGCTTGTCAAAGTTTTATTAACAAGTATTTTGATCAAAATTAAAACAAGTTGTACTGAAAATTTTTAAAGTATAATTGTTCAATACACCTTTTTTATTCTTGATCAAAATGATGTTGACAAGAAAGTTTCGTTCTACGCAAACTTGTTCATTAACAACTAAAGGAGACCATGAACACGGGTGGCCCAAGCGGTGCAATGCACACACACTATTTACTCTTTAATAATTAAAATTAATAAGATTATCCATAAAATCTATTTTACGTATATTTTAGAATGTCTAAAAATAATTTCTGTGATATGTAGATGAGATACTTGCATTCTTTTGGCAGTTCTGCATATCTACAGCATTTATGCACTAGTCGCCACTGATTATAACCAATAAATAGTAATATTGCGAAAAGGGCTTAATTTAAAAATATTCTGCTGCTTATCGTTGCCTTGCAAGACAAGATGTAATGACTAAAAAGTGCTTAGTAGCAAATTGTCTAAATTCGATAGTTTCTGTGAAAAAATATTGATATTTATGTCTAGAGATATGAATGTGAGAAATTGTGGTTTCAAGTAGTAGAAGTGTTGTAAAATCACAAAAAGATTAAAAAGAATACATACAGAATACTCACAGTACACAGTACAACGTTCACAAAAGTGAACTGAAATATTCTGATATCATTCTAATATTTTCTTAATTGGAAGAAAATGATGGAAGCGATTTTAGAAGTGAAATCCTTGAGGTGACATATTAAATCCCTAAGAAAAAACCTTACACTGTTGAGACCGAGGTTGCGACATATCAAAGTAGAAACATAAAAAAGTTAATTACTTGACTTTCTTTCTGAATTTAAATTACCTAGTAATTATTTTTAACAAGCAGCCAGTTGCAACAACGTTCTTTAAAATTTATGAGCCTGATAAACTTTAACAAAGCTTGAGAATGACATAAACTCTAAATTACTCACAGTTTAAACATCTGTCAAAGTTTATCAGGCTCATAAATTGTAAATAACGTTTTTGCAAGTGGCTGTGAAATTTTCTAGTGTGATTCTTTTGTCATATATTTTCATTATTTATATATTTAATTTTCATAGGAGAATTCTCAATTATTATTTAAGCAGTTCTGGAATCAAAAAAAAAAATAAATATTTTTAGATTTCTAGATTTCATACGGTTTCATTTATACACATGGAGTTATTCTTTTATCATAGCTAAATAAAGTACAGTTAGGTTTGGTTTTGTATATTTTTATAATCAATAAAACTAATTTGCGTTATTTGCAATTTTTATTAACATTTTCAATTTTATACATGCAACTAAATAGTACAAGTTTCTGTCTAAAAATGCAATGGATACACACTGAATTTTAAAAATATATAAATATATGGCATTTGTAGAATAATTTTCACATAAATCTTATGACTAAAAATGCAGGAAAATAAAGACTTTTTTAATAATAATTAGCAACCATAAATTCTTAGATCATCTTTACCAGAACTATTTTTATTAAGTCATCTATAATCAAAGAAAATAGGTGCTTCATTATGACGCCACAAAATGCCGCAAACATAATTAGTTTTAAATTATTGAT